GAGAAGAGTTTCACGATGGGCGATAAACATTTCGAATAATTATAAATGACAGAAAAACAGGGTGACGTGACTTGTTTCTTAATTACTAGCCGAGCGTTAGGGCCGCACAGGGGAATATGAGCCCGAGGTCGTGGAAGTACGAACAAAACGACCGTTCGCGGACAAATATTTCCTAAAACAGTTCAGGCAAGCGAGGTTAGCAAGTACTTTATATATGACTCTCGGAAACATCTTGTTTATTCTGAACTTGCCGGCTTTCGTGACAAACAAATGAATACACGGCGTATTACCGTTTCCGTGGAAACGGTCCGATATACGTACATACTTGTATGTATATGGCAAAATACGATATTCGATATGGGAAAATCCCGACCAACAAAGCAGCAGTTAGAGCGCTCGACCACCTTGCCTTATAATGAACGCTTTTATGACATGACAAAAGATATGCTTAAGCCAATGCTTGAATAGAGGTTAAATTTTTTATGTAAGCGATCTATGAAATGGTACGAGTTTGGAACTTAGAACTAATAGAGCATCCTTAGAGAAATTTTAATAACTTTCCACTGGTTCTACATAGGCTGTGGAGGCTGCCAAAAGTGCCACTGGGGAACAAAACGAAGCTACAGCTATCAAGAAATTCAAGGAACAGCTCAACTCTACTGACGAATACTTCAATGATGAAGCTTTTCCTAAAAACGAATCTGACGAGAATGCACACGCAAAATGTAGCAATATCGAAGGTGCTAGGAAATATTGTCCGACCAGATGGAAAACCCTTGAAAAATGGTTTACGGAAGCCAGATCGGTATGAAGTAATTTGTACTTTTTGTCTTGTTTGTAGCAAAAATTGATGAACGGAAACTTTATACAATCGGTCTAAACTTATTTCAAATCGTTTGTAGCAATAATTGATGAACGACAACGTTATGCAATCGGTCTAAAATTATTACAAACTGGTATCAACCTATCAGTAGCTGTTATTAACTGTAATTAAATTCTCCATTCCATCAACTCTATAACTTCACATCTATTATAATTTTCTGACATTGGATTTAGCCTTAGAGTTAAAATCCCATCTGCATTGGTTTTATTTGTGTTAAGTTTCTCATTTGAGGCAGTTAACTTGCTCTTACCTTTAACTCTCGTAAGCTTTTTCCTCTGTTTAGATTGGTCTTTGTTATTACTTTTTCAGGTTATGAGTATGCTGTACCCTAAAATTACCGACATGTTTTACTTCGCTGGAGACAAACACTCAACACCCAACTGTCCTGTAGAACTAAGACCAGACCTGAACCCATCTAGCGGTATACAGAGCTACGACGGAAGTGATGCAATGTGCACAAAGCCTGCCCATTACAACATTCCTTTCTTCCTAGACAGACTGGGGCCAAGGTTTTCTGAGTGGAGTATCAACGCCCACGAGGCTCGTCCGGGTCACCATATCCAGGTGACAATTTCTCAATTTAAGTTGGTTGTAGTTTTATTTAATACATGCTTTTATGTACACCTTTTTTCGGAACCAAATTAATGCGAAATTACTGGAGAGTTGAAAAGGCACAGAAAGGGAAAGGCAAACTCACAAGTTTTCGAACTCGAAAGTTATTTTAATATGTTTATTTTTTAAACTCTTTGACTATTTTTTGATTATTTTTAGACGACTTAGTTCTGAAAGCCTGAGAGCACAATGCATCACTATTGTGTTCGATTCCTGAGTCAAGTTAAGGTTAATATTCGTTCTCCCATGATCCTTATATCCTCCTTTCCCAAAATCTAACTCCTCAAAATGTAATTTGACCTAAGAATAGTTTGCAAAGAGCTACCTCGCGGATGTACTACAACTAGATCTTTTTTCAACAAGTAGGGTTGTTTTGTTTATTCTTGAAATTCCTGCAATTCGACTTTCCTCTAGACAGTTCTTATCTTACAATTTTTACTGTGGTAGATCCAAGGGTATAGAGAGCACTTTGAAGACACCTGTGGAGGTCCAATTGGTTGGTTAAGCTCCAAGACATACTACACGGCGTTTTTGGAGGGATGGGGTCTATATGCTGAGAATCCATTAATATCAAACGATACTGATGTCTACGATGCGAGACCATTGAAAAAGTATGGTATGCTGAAATGGCAGGTTGGTAATGACGATAATCAAGCAAAGGATAAAATGATAGTTGAAGTTGAGATCGCGCATGGATAAAAGCGCTTGTCTCTCACCGCTGTACCCTGGACTCGAGTCCCTGGCCTCACGTCATATCTGGGTTAGGTTTCCTCTGTTCTCTTTGCCTTCCAGGAATTTTATTTCCTAGGTACTCCCGTTTTCCACCCTCTGGGAAAACCAGCACTAGAAAATACCGTAGATAGAAAGTCACCTCGTAGAAGTATCGATGCTAATGTTTCTGCGTTTTCAGATCTGGCGAGCAGTAAGAATGATCGTAGACACAGGACTTCACTACACAGGAATGAAAAGAGACGAAGCTATCAAGTTATTCGTCGATAACGCTTGGGATGACTCTGACTTCACTCGTAAAGAGGTTAGGAGAGTGTTTTCGGCTCAAGGGTGTTAAGATGCAATAGTTTACAGTGCTCTTACAGCATTCATTTGCTAGCTTGACTTCTACTTCCTCTCTTCCTTTTAATTTCTCTGCAACTTACTCAGGGATGGATGCCATCCCGTGATGCAGATGGATGCCCCGAAATCAGGGCTGGTCATAAATTACATATCAGAATTCATAAGGTGGATGTGCAAGGACGTTACTTCGGGCACTAGACGGACATTTAGATACTTACTAAGGAAACTGCATGCTACAAACGATTCAGAGTGGCCGCGATCTAGTAATCACTGTGATATGCTCTTGCGAGAAAAAAAAAACAATATTAGACTTTTATGATATTATTTCTTCTATGTAACAGGTAACACGTTATCAGAGCTGGCCAGGCCAGTCGACCGCGTACATGGTGGGCAGGATAGCCCTTCTAAAAAACAGAGATCATGCAAAAACTGCTTTGGGCAAAGACTTCGATCTCAAAGACTTCCACTATCAGGTGAATAATAAAATAAACATAATATGATACACATAACAATAATTTGGATATATCGTCGTTATATGAGGGAGAGAAAAAGGATCTTCAATCGATTTCTCTTTTCCAGTGGGTCGTGGTTGCAAAATGCCAGGGCTTTTTTGTCTATTTATTTACTTTTTGTTGTTGTTGTTGTTGTTGTTTAGTCACATATCCTAGATTATTCCATTTCTATGGCCACATTTTCTCTCTTATTGGTAAAGGGCCTTAACATTTGCACACCTCATTTCTTTACAGAACTAAAAAAATTGACAAATATCTGCTCGCACTGTCCAAATTAAAATCTTTTCTTTAACTTATTTCTCAGGTATTGAGTCAAGGTTCTTCACCACTCGCCTTTCTTGAAGAACACATCGAAAATTATGTCGAATGCGTCAAAGAACCCAAGAAGGAAGGCTGTTCTGAAATCCTTAACCCGCCCAAAAGGGGAAAGGCAAAGAGTACCGATGACAAGTCTGCAAAGAATTTGCAGTCCTTTGAGGCCTACAGGCATTATGCTTGAAAAGAAGAATATTCCATATCTTAGTACATTATAATACGAAGACTGAACAGAGAAACACGACACAAAAACTCGGCTTATTAGGCAAACAGTGCATGCCATCGTCCTAAAGTGACGGCTCCTCATAAACAATTTATTGCAAGCGTTTTTTTTTTTCTCTGCTCCCTCGATATACTGCCCTATAAGTTTTGCTGCACCAGTAACCACTGCTGCCATTGTTATTCAGTCATTACAGCCAATATATCTTCATTTTTCATAGAGGTACTGTTTTGTGGACGAAATGTTAACCATCGCTTTGATTCACGGAAAAACGACTATGTTGTTCGCAGGGAATCTCCGCTTATAAATAAAGTAGAAGACAAATGAAAACACTTGACATCAATAATAAATTCCTTATCTTGATCACTAAAGTAGTGTTACAGCCTTTTGGTTTTTCTTCTTATAAAATTCCTCAAAGACTATTATGACAGGAAGAGCCATGGTCTTTCCTCTTTGGTTCTTTTTGTTATTCCTTGTGCTGGATAGTTGAACTGGTAAACGGAGTACTGACTGTGGATACAAATAACGAACGTATTTGACAACATATAAAAGTCAGTTAGGAGAAATGTATGAAAAAAGTTGGAAATCAAGAAAAAAATTCAAATGCACTTAATGATCAATAATAAATTCCTTATCTTGATCACTAAAGTAGTGTTACAGCCTTTTGGTTTTTCTTCTTATAAAATTCCTCAAAGACTATTATGACAGGAAGAGCCATGGTCTTTCCTCTTTGGTTCTTTTTGTTATTCCTTGTGCTGGATAATACGCGAACGCGTTTCGACTTACAGAGCACGCGCTTAGAAAAAGGTCCGATTGTTACGTCACTTACAAAAAGCAGATGAGAATTTCCCTTGCGTTCCGTTTAGTACATTTGCTAAGCTAGAAAACTTTGCAAGCGAAAAGTACTCGCAATGGCTTCGGTTATCAGCGAAAGTTTTGTGGCAAGAGCAAGTTATCTATCTGATGAGAAGGAAAGACAGATCGACAAATTGCAAAGACAATTTTATGAACTTAAAAAACAATGTGACAAGTACTTTGATGACTTGGACGATGTTGAAGATACGTGCAAGCAGGCCAAAGAGAATATGAAAACGGTCTGATTGGTACGTCACTCACAACAAGCAGAAGAAAATTTCCTTTGCGTTCCCATTAGTACAGCTTGCAAGTTAAAATTACCCGAAATGGCTTCGGTTGTTAGCGAGAGTGGATGAAATTCTCTACCCGATGACTCATTGACGAATAAGCTCCTCAGAGTTAAAAACTTTGAGGTTTTTCGTTTAACGCGAGATAAATAGTTGAACTGGTAAACGGAGTACTGACTGTGGATACAAATAACGAACGTAATTGACAACGTATAAAAGTCAGTTAGGAGAAATGTATGAAAAAAGTTGGAAATCAAGAAAAAAATTCAAATGCACTTAATGATCCTTTGGGGTATTGCCAGTGAAAGCACTTACTGATGACCCCGTATTCTTTTCGATTGGATTTCCTTTGAAAACTCGAAGAATGGCCATGATGGCTAACTAGAAGTACTGAACATACTTAAATTTTGTAAGCTCATGAAACATAAAGTCTCCTCGGATACGGCCGGTTGAAAAAACTGAAATATTTTGAGGAAAGTTGGATCTCGGCATGGCTTTTTCGCTTCGTTTTCACTTCAACGCCTAATGGCTGCAAGACGAGCTCACATCCAAGAGATTTATCATCTAACTTGCAGGCGACATATTGCTGGATATGACTCTCGAGGAAACTCATCGGCGCAGAGCCTTGGTTGAGAATCTAAAATTGAAAGCAGAGTTTATGAGTTTTCGCCCATAAATGTAATACTGATTTTCTAGGCACCCAAATAAGAAAAACGTACAATTTAACAATTCCATACAGATATAAAATGGTGTAAGCCAGTCATCTAACATCGATAGTCGTAAACGCAATAACAAAATGTATTTAGTTATAAACACCTCCATATTTTACCTGGCAATGAAAGTCCTTTAGGTCAAATTTTCCCTTGGACGTCATCTCTGCGTAGTCCTTTAACTTCTGAATCATCAGCTGACCAATCGTGTACACGCTAGCCTGACCCAGGCCAGTCTGGTATCGAGTTATTTCTTTGCGCGCAACATCGGACGTGTCCCAAGTATAATTGGCCAATAGATCCAGTCCTTTTCGGCGAGTCATGCCCTTGCTATGGAGGCCTGCGTCCAGTACAAGACGGAGGGCCCGCCAAAGCTAAAGATAAGAAAGAAATAGAGCAGTGACAATACGAAACTGCAACAACGGCGGAAAAAAGTTTCAAGGCTGAGAACACCGACAACTTGCATACATGCAGTAAAAACCTTTATATGCCTTGAGGATAATTACACTGACAAGTGATTGCTCAATTTTGTCTCCGAAAACTATTTGATGTTGTACATTGCAGAGTTATCTGTATTCATTTTGCGGGAAAAAATTTGTGAGGTTAAAAACCATTAGCTGCTAGTAAAAGAAAAAAAGTCGATCTAGCTCTTTGGTGAGTGTCTGTCCTATTAAACTAGGCATAGTTTTCGGTGTGCAAACTGTGATCAGGCGTCCTTTATGTTAAGTATTAACGACAATCTATGCTTCCGATGAAAGCATGGATCCAAAAGGTAAAATTCCAAAAGGATACTGTCTTGTTTTGGATATCGTAGGATTTATTCATTCCAATATGCTATGTTCTTCCGGTGAAATCTTTCAAAATTCACATAGTATTTATTGTAAAAGGTGCTTATTTATTGCTTTTCTCGTCTTGCGTCTTTAGTATTAAGCTATGTCTTTAATTTTTTTTTATCGAAGACCATCAAAAACTTCGAGAAATGAGCCCAAGCCGATTTGGCCTCATCAGCGGCACATGTGCTATTTGTGATGATTGTGGTCTTGCTACTGGTTCATAATTCCTTAAACAATGCCCCCAAAACAGTGATCTAAATCGCCAAATGGTTTATGTTGCCAGTGAAATGGGGATTGGCAGAGAACGTATTGGTGTGAATTAGATTCCTAAAGCACAAATGGCAGGGGAAAAAAAGAATTCAGCTACCAGCCACTCTTTCAATGCAAGAGCAACTTAAGCTACTGGGCTATTTTGTTAATTTACCAGGACAGTTTTGTTTAGTGAATGTCTCTCCATTGATTTTGCTTTCCAAATTTTAAGCTACATTTTTCTCAGAAGGGGATTTTTACGAAGTTTTTAGATGCCCCCCGAGACTTTTTCAGTTTGGCTTTATCTATTTTCTACCAAATTTGGCTCAGTTACATATGGAAGGCTGCTCTAAAAACCTATCGAGGTTTTTTTCTTTTTGGTGAATTCAGTTGATGTTATACCAGATTAAACTCTATACAAAAGTATGCTGTTACTATGGCAAAAAAATTTGGTGAACACCGAAATCGCTCGATAGGTTTGTAGGAGAGTTTTTGTAGAGTTATTGTGCGAAATATTATGCTTACTGTATAACTAGAACAGAAAAGAAAGTGGGGGGGGGGGGGAACATGAAAAAAGTGAAAAAAGCCTCAATGAAGAATTTGGTTAATATTCAACCATAAATTTGTTTATTATGGTATGCAAGCCATATGCCACATTAGGTTGTGGGTTAGTCTATTTGCATGCAAAGTTTTAAGAAGATACATTAAGTAGCTGGAGTTTCATGTGCTTCACAATCTTTGCATGGATGGGCTCAAAATGTAACCAGACTTCCCCCCACGATTTGCATATCGTATCCAGATCTTTAAGGATTTGGATAAAATATCTAAACGTCTACTGATTCTAGAAAAATCATGTGACACGAATAAATCCAACTAAATAACACCCCGCGCAAACAACAAATACATATTTCCTTCAAAGAATGTAACAGAGTACTTGGGTAATTCACAAATTATCGCAGTTCGTATACACTACCCAAGAGGGTACAGGAGAGATGAAGGATTAACCCTCAGGTACACACTACCCAAGTGGGTATAGAAGAGATTAAAAATAACCCTCAGGTATATGCAAGAGATTAAAATAACCCTCAGGTATACACTACCCAAGAGGGTATGCAAAAGATTAAAGGTAATCCTCAGGTATACACTACCCAAGAGGGCACGAAAAATTGAATTCACACTAATTCATATCAGGAGACCGCTCTTTGTCTGGACTCTTTCTTTTGACTGAAAGTTCAGGCATCCACCATTAACTTATATGATTATTATCCTTTACTAGTTCCCGAATTTCTTTGTCAAGCTCGGCTATTTTTGACTGACATCATTGCAATTTCCCATGATATTTCGACTGGAGGCATTTCCCACCCAAAGTGTACGGTGGAGGGCGATTTGATTTACCGCATCAACAACAAGATTATGTTTTGAGACCTCGCGAATCCATCTGCTGGATTTCTCCCTGTCTAATTATTCCGGCACAGAGACCACTTGAAGATATAACATGCATGTTGTTTGGTTACCTGGCGTTGAACGAATTTTTAGTAGTTTAAGGCCTGGGTCAAGAGAGTAAATTGCCTTAAGAAAATAAACAGCTCTATCTCCGCAAATACACAGCCGGTTGCGCTGAAACTTTCGTGGACGATAGTTTTCCCTAAGAACTTTTATCTTATGGCAACAATACCGACGACGAAAGTCACATGTCGGGTCACGTGATCAAAACGCTACTCAATCAATTTTTATTGGAATTGGTAAGATTTAAACACACTCTTCACTGACCAATGAATGAAACAAATACTCAGTAAAAAATTCTAGCCATCTACCTTTGGAATTAATTTCCTTCGTTCCTTCAAAAAGAGAATTGAGATTTGTTAGAGCTGCGAAGAGAATTTTGTAAACTTAATGGAATTTTGTTTGTTATCAACTGTACTTGACACATCATTCCGAACGTGAAGACAAAGTTTATCAATGCCTTCTTCCATTTTTCAAAAGACAATTGCGTGAAACGGAAACTTCAGCACCGGCGGGTGCGTTATGATTACTCCTTTTAGGGCTAC